CCATTTATCATTCACTCCATTTATTATTCACTCCCTCCTAATTTTTAATGCAGCTTCACGCTTTCAATACATGATACAATCAGTGAGACCAACTGCGTTACCTATATCATGAAGATATATGCTTTAGCGTTTTATGGGATACACACATTAATATGATTGAATACTTATTTAAATTAAAATCAACACTTCAGTAGACCGTATATTTCTTCAAGTTAAGGTTTGTATAAACACTCACAGGCTACTTAACTGTTGATGTTAACGGCAAACAGCTTAATGCAACAATTTTTCTCGAAAAGTCGACAAGGTATAAGAAAATGTCGGCATAGGTCTATAACAACAGCATGATAGCTAAGACAACTTATTGAACTTGTTAAGGTACTAAAGCAAAGTTCAATATACTATATATTATACTACGTAAAATGCCATTGTTAGTTGGTAATTTTAAAACAATTTTAGCCAAGTTATTACCAAAGGATTGTAAACTTTTCAGCACAATACTGGACTAACTGCTGACCAGAAGTACATTATTTTTTATGTAAATCACAACTTCGAAACAAATGTATTGCGTTCTCTGACATATCATTGTTTGTTGCATTATGAAACTAAAATTACTAGGTCGAATAGCAGAGAGTCAGTCTATTAAGAATGAGATATTTAACAAGGACTATAAATATGATAGTGCATTACATGTATTATTCTGACATTGTGTTTTATTTTAAGAATCAATTTTGGACGAAATAATTTGTTCAAAGGGATTAATAGTGAACAAAGAGACTGGGCCACATATTTGCTTGCGCAGTTTTATGTAGAATTGCACCATGTCTTGAAACATTGTAAATAATATTTTTGGGAGGTTGAGGATATGTATTCGTGCGTCTCGATCAAGAATAGATAAAATACGTATGTGCGAGTACGTACATTAGCATTTTCAGGTTAAAGAGAAGTTTTTGGGATAGTGTGAGAGCACTGAGTGAGATGCACTGCTCTTTAACCAGCAAACGATACATATGTCTATTCTTGATCAAGAATCAAGAATACGTTGTTTTCTTCTTGTTTTTTTTCAAAAGTAGTTGTTCAAATATTTATGTCATAAGTTACGTCACAACTCGTACCGTTCAAAACGTTAAACATTATTTAGTGAAAAAATATTGCTCCAAACTCCCAGCGTTCATAATATCACTTCTGCACATGAAATATAAATTATAACAGAAGAAATCATATTCTGAAACATAACTACATTTTTGATTTAGTGGTAAATATTAAAGAGAATAGCTGAATATTTTAAGCAATTTAACGATTATATTAACAAATACAGTCAAAAGCTGCTGCCATAATGGCAAACATATACTTTGAAGAAAAGTTCCATGTTGAACTCAACGTTTGATCATGGAAAGTACCCTCAAGTTTAAAGACATAATTTAAAAAAAAGTTAGCGGTGCAACGTGTCAAAAACATTGCGTGAGCATAATAGTATAAGCCCTGAATAATCGAGCTCGAGGTCTTTGTGGAGAAATATTGGAACGAGGTCTTCTACTTAAATGGAAAGTGGTATGTGAGTGTCAATGTAATAAGGGTTATAATATAATTAAAATTATCATAAAAAAAAAAGTTAATACACTCCTGTTAAAACGCTACGTATTTTTCGCCAAACTGTGAAAAAACTTATAATATTTTACATTTTTTGTACAGCAAACAATTAATTACAATACACCACGTTGTAGTTTACAGTATTTTTTCGTACATGCAGTTTTTTTTGTAATTTTTTGTTTTCGTGTGTGCTTTAGTAAGCCCTTAATAACCGAGCTCGAGGTCTTAAAGGAGAAATATCGGACTGAGGTCTTTTTGTAAAGACCGAGCGCGTATGGCGAAGTTTGTACAAAAAGACCTCAGTCCGATATTACTCAGTAAAGACCGAGAAAGCGAGGTTATGAAAGAGTTTATTATTTGGCATTATTTGACGTGAAATGAAGCTTGAGTTCTTTCTTGTCTTTTTCTTCTGTTTTTACGGGTTCACTTTCATTTTTCTAGTTTTTGTCAGTAAAAAAGAAATCTTTTGTCAAATTGTATCGTCTGGTTAGTTACACTGTTTTCCGAGTGTTTTTCTTCCGACTCACATTTGAAAATGGTTTACTGTTTCATTGTTTTGCGTTTTGCTGTCTGCTTTACGAAGTTTGTTTACATTTGTCTGTAAAATACGTGTTTGAACTCTAGTCCATTACGGAAAATAACGGACCGGCAAAATGTCTCTAAGCGAATCAAAGCGTGCCATTTTGCCGGAAGTGATGCTTGCCATATAATAAAGCACATTTAATGCACAAAACATAAAATCTTGTTTTTGATTATTTTGATTGATTCATTTTACCCATTATGTTTTTGTTTGTCATTATGTATAGTTTGTAACAACGCCTTTGTCAAAGATGAAAGTTCGTTTCTTTTTAATCTTTCAAATCCAAATGGCGCACCTCCGACCAAACTCTCTAATGCGAACAATGACTGGGGAATGTGGATGTATAGCTCATGTGGACCATTATTTGGAAGTCATTCAAGTTGTAGTATTTTATTTATGAATAGCAGTAACTCCTCAATTTGTTGTGTGACTAACGGAATTGGCGAATTTAATATTCCTTGTGGTCAAACATTGTCTGCAGTTTTGGCTGGTGCTACCTCCACTATAAGCATGAACAATTTAGAAGTTTTTGGTTTGTCCAATATATGAAACAATGTTATATACCAGCTATGCTAGGAATTATTTTTGTTATGCTACAGCTACAGACACAATTTAATTCTCCTTGCCATTGCTCAATACAAAAATACAACTATAGTAATGATTTCATGCAAGGATATATTTGTTCTGAACTAATCTTTTTACGTAAAGCATTCTGAACTCTTTTTAAGATTAAAGTTAACGTATAAGCCAATTCCATGCGATAACAATTATTATTGGTGTAAGTCTGTTTTTAGCATTGAACTAAATATATAACTGGAAGGCTGCCTTTCTTTAAACACGCATGTTCTTGCATAACGCCAAATTTTATCACCATGCCCGTTTGTCTTGTTGGTCAAATCCCGCAATCAACCTGATCATGGTGAGAGAACCTCTTTGGGACGTGCGAAGAAATCGTGCTTCAAGTTTTAGTGATGGGAGGTAGCCTTTCAGTTGTATTCATTTCACAGGTTTACCAGGCCTGGACGAACCATATGGCTGGAGATTCGTCAGCCACGGGCCCGCGCTTTTAGGGTCCCCGCGCTTCACTGAGCTTAAATTTTTGCTTTATAGCTATTCACGGTAACATCAAAACATGATTGAGCAAATGCAAATGGCCAACATTTTGGTGCTTACATTGGACCCCGAAGCGCGTGGCTCCCATAAATCCCTTGCAATTGCAGGGCTCTTACAGGTGCATGGCCCCTACAAGCCATTACAGGAGCAAAGCTCAAACAAGTGCTCGCTATTATATTTATTGCCAATTTGTGGTGGGTGAATCACGTTTACCTTACTTATCGATTCCTTCGTCATTATTAAATTTAAAATCAATCCATTACTCTGTCGTTCCACAAATCATTTCGACCTCTGTTTTCTGGGCGTATAAAGAAGAAACTACTCGCAGTTTGAGAAACAAATGGCTATGCACGTAGAGCGCATACCGAATTATAAGTTATTAAATTTTTACAAATTTAAGAAGTTTGAATTTAATGTAAGAACGCTTGAATAATTTTTTTCACAGAAAACGTGGGGGATAAAACCCCAACATGATTAGTGGACTGACGGAACATATATTTGTACTGCACATCGACAATCATTTGTGCAAATTTAATCAAACGTACAAATATCAAAAATTTGTTATAAAATCAAAACTTAATATCACCAGCCGTGCCCCTGCTTTGTCTACAAAAACTCCAATTGACAAAATAGACGTCACCTGCTTGGCCTGTGGGTCTTCGTGGCTTCTATCGTTATATTATATTTTGATAACTACCGTTTAACGCGATGCTAATATATACTCCTCAGAACCTTGCAGCAACCGTCAAAACAACCTGAAAAATGCATGGATTATAGAGGTATAGTTAAGCTCGGAGTATGGATATATTTTTAAAAGCATCAGATTTCCAACGGCCACACATTGGTCGTATTAGTGCGTCTGAAAAACCGGATTCAGCTGCTAGAGTAGCCGCTCCAATGCAAGAACTGTGACCTTTACATATACGAGCGTCAAGCTCACAATGTTCGAGTGCTTTTGCTAAGTCTTCGTTACATTGGGTGGCCATCCATTGTGCAAACCAATCAACAGCTTGGTAAGAGTATTTATGGCATTACTGTTGGGCATGGATGTGTGCCGTGCAGCGCTTCCCTCTTGAATGATGTAACCTGCAAACGGGACAAACAATCAGCTAAGAAATTTTTATCCCAGGAACATGCCTGGCCGGAAATAAAATATTATGTTGCAAGCAGACCAGCAGCAGCCGACGCACAAAAACCATTACCCTTTTTTCCTGAGAAGTTTGTCTAATAATGACTTCCACCAATGTCGCATTGTCCGTGAGGAAGATGATTTTCCATGACGTTACCCCACAGAAAAACTTTGAAGAAAATAGGATAAAGTTCCAACATAGTAATGTTGAAGATGTCCCATCTCTCAGGCCACTCACCCAAATGCTAAACTACCTGCTTGCCCCAAATCCTAAATTATCTGTTGCATCCGTATGTAAGTTTAAGACATCGGAATCTTGCCACTTATCATGACGAAAAAGGTCCTACTATTAAAATCGTCTAGAAAGTTTTTCCAAACGTGCAAGACTTCCTTAGCCTAAGCTGTTAGAGGAATAAAATGCTTAGCTGAACGAACACCCTTCGTGAAGTCAATGATGCGACAAGTACAAGCTCGACCGGGAAGAATGACAGAACATGCAAAATTTAAAAGCCCAATGAAAGACTGCACGTCTCGTAACTGTACTTTCTTCTTCTATTGAAACAATGAAACTAGGGAGTGGCATTTCGTTAATTAATCTTTGGGCACTCGAGCTTCCATCCGTAATGTGTCTAATTCGATACCCGCAGAAGTAAGAACATTGTGTTTGCCAGCCGTTTTATCATGCGCAATTGGCACACTCAAGAAGTCACACAACTGCACAAATTTCTCCAGGCTAATGCGGCATTGGCTGAATGTACGTGCAGTGAACGAAAAATGATCTAATATATAGATAAGATGTGGTCTTTCGAAGTGGTGTTGTGCAACATATTTCAAAGCTGTACTAAACATTTCAAATGTGCGACATGATGATGAGCAACCCATTGGTACGGCCTTGTCATAGTAAAATTCACCCTCACAGCAGATGCCATGTGGATCAAAACTATCCGGTCGAATAGGAATGATGCGAAAGGCATTTTTAATATCTGTTTTAGCAAGTAAACAACCTGGCCCTATTTGCCGAACGAGAGCTATGGCACCATCAACTCGGACATAGTTCATAGCGGAAACAGAGCTAACTGTTATTCGATAACGTGTTTCCCTTATGTCTTTATTAAGCAAGCTACCAAATTTGATATACTCATTAACCCAAATTTTTTCTCTTAAGCTTAGAGACAATTTGAGCGTCAATGGGATTGCTGACGGAATTAAAATTCAACAGATTGGTTGATTGAATGGTAGCTCCCAATTGACACACCTCACCTGCACATTGACTCCTGCCCCAGCTTTATCCCCAGCGACTAAAGGCCTTTCTTGAACCATTGCCAGCGATGTATTGGTTGAACTTTATAGTGACAATAAGGATTCAACCACTGCTGAAGAAACTGCCGATGCAGTGTCATTACTTGAAGACAGCGATAGTATTAGTTTGTCTTTACTTGTTTCCCTGTTGCATTGGTTGTGCTTGTGCCACATTTTGCCTTGGTTGTGTTGCGTCACTGTTTCCTTCTCCATCTTGCACGGTATTTGTGAGTACATTTTCTAGCACTTCTGGCAATATGGAGCCGTTACTGTTTTAAATAGCTTCTTCCGGGTGTTCCTTCTTCTCTGGGATTTTCTAGTGTTGTTATTCGGATAAGGATTGTATTTCATATTAGATTTATGATGACTCCTTTCCAATGCATCTTTATAAATAATGCATTCTCTCTCAAAAATATTTTCGTTCGATGAAAGGTTGGAAATTTGGGTGTTTATAGAGATGGTAGTTGCTTTATGATATTTGGTGGATGATTACAACGTGTATCGATGTAGAGAGGATTGTTATCAGATTTTCTGTATAGTTTGTATATTCCAAGGCTTATGTCACGAGTAACATCGAGAAAGCTTACAGTTTCGTTGTTAATTTCAACAGTTGGCCATGCTCGCTGAAAATTTGGTGAATATCTTTATGTGCTTTATTTGTTTGTCTTCCACCCTTTCCCTCGATAACAAGCAAACCGTCATCTCTATATAACCCAACGTTATCTATTCCAAATCTATTGGTCAAATCTTTCAAAAGAAATGGAAGAAAAAGCTCACAAACCTCTGCGTCATCGAAGCTACCCATTATTACTTCAAAGAGAGATTCCTTATTATTTTTGATCCATTCTTTATTATTGTAGAAAAGCAGAGATTTTCTCACATGCTTAATAATATTGACATCTAAATCCGTTGTGCAAACCACTGATCTAGCCCATTCAATTGCTGAATCAAGAATAGGCTCCGTAATGGATGGGATAAAACTCAACGATATTGAAAGATAGAAATATTTTGTTACACTAAACAACGAAGAACAAAGAGCAATTAAAAACCTGCAGAACGACGACCAAATAATCATATTACGAGCTGACAAAGGACGCAAAACAGTTATCATGGACAAATCAGAATACACCAACAAAGTCAAAACTCTCCTGCAAGACACCACCACCTACGAATCTCTCCACGCAGACCCCAACAAAACCACCACCAACCGTATCAACCAGAAACTGAAACAGCTCAAAGAAAAAAAGAAACTGACCGAAAACCGTTACAAAAGAATCCGACCCAATGACTCATCCACCGCCAAATTCTACAGACTACCAAAAATGGACAAAGAAAACAACCTGATTCCACCTATCGTATCTCTTCCAGAATCACATACATATTAATCATCATAATATCTCTCTCACATTCGCTATCACTTAGTCAAAATTCATCACACACCATCAAAAACGTCATCACCTTCCTCGCCAACATTGACAACATTAAACTACTACCAGACGAAACCAGGCCAATTTACGCCGTGACATCACTCTTCACATCCATACCACTAGACATAGACCAAAAATTACAAACGAACTACTCACAAACGACAAATCTTGGCAACCTACAATTAACATAACTAGACAAAAATGACATCCTAGACTTACTCAACCTTTGCCTCTCCACAAATTGTTGGTTGAAGTTTGGGCTTGAAATAAAACTCAGTTAAGCCCTTTTTCAACAAGTACATTTAAATTTTTATATTTTTTGTTATATTCAGTTAAAGTTGATCACACAAACAATGTACACTTATTTACCATAATGTATGATGTGCGATAGTTATTGCAACTTTTAAATAAAGGAATAAGAAAAGTAATCTTTCAGTTGCAATTCTGTTGTAGACAATTTTGTAAGTTATAATACTAAATGTTCTCCAGCTGTTCAATAGTTATTAACAGTGTTTCATGATGATTATGAAATTCCGCTCAATTCGCTAACAACATTAAGGTATAACTGAACAGGGTCATTTTCATGTTCTATTGCTATGGTGTTGATGATGTCAAGCACATCCTCGGGAAGATTAACATTTGATTCTGGAACAACAACTGTTTCCTGCTCATTGCCATTAAACTCAAGAATGTCTGCTTCACCTTGCATGGTTTTCAAGTCTGCCTTAACTTGCTCAGTCATCTCAAAGAAGTCTTCATGATGCTGTAGCACTCCAGCATTCCAGAGTTGTAAAGGTGACATACAATTTTCAGAGCTCAGAGATGTTGATTCCAGTGTGTTACTAACTCGTGAAGTGATCTGTTAATCAACGGGTGGTATGCAAATTGCAATGCAAAAAGATTCATTTCATCATTGCAATTTTATAATCCTTGATCCTCCAACATTTTAAATTGGTCAATATATCCATGTAGCGCCCCATTCAGAACATCCCTATGCAACCGTTTTACCAGTTGGTTATGTACAGTTGAATCATTTGTCTCCACCTCAAAACAGTGCCGACAGGATCCAGCTCACGAAGAAGTTGCCTAACCCGCCATCACTGAACATGCAAACCTCGAGCTTGAAGAGCACCTTGCATTCGTGACTGTCCAATCCCAGGAGTCATGCTTTGAATTTCTCCCATAATAGAACGAAATTCTTCATACGATATAGTGGACCAGTTATCGCCTCCGCCAGTCCCAATTCCTGCCTTCTTCTCAGCCGTATTTTGGTTGATACTCCGAGAATGGTGGCAATCTTGTCTAACAATAATAAAGCTCTCGTAGATAAACAATTTGATGTCTGAACAACACGTATTTGGGTCTGCCCTTATAACCTGAATGCATTTCACTTCTAACGTTACGTACACCTTGTACTCCGACTTGACTCTCCTTTTCTACAGCAACTGCTTCGAAGAAATTTTTTAACGTTCTAATGTCACCAATTAACGCTGTCCTATCATTAGCAAAACCTTCAAACCCCTGCATTTGCACAATGTTTACAAGGTCATTAGACCTCTCCGTCAAAACAGAAAACGACGTGTAAGTCTCCGAAAGATGTCTTTCATATATTTGTCGGCTGTCTAATTTGTGCACTGTCTCCAGCTTCTAAAAAACCTCTACCTCAGAAATACATTGCCTAGCACCGTTAAAAAAGCAGATAAATTAATTTTTTGCTCGCCATTTTGTTTTCAACCGGCGGTAACTTCTGCCACGTGATAGCTATGTGGTGCAGAATTTATAATTATCATAAATATGAAGTTCGTAATAAAAACTTAGTTTATCATTTGAACTTTTTCCTTGTCTCGTATAACACGTCATGAAATAGAGTTCCACAAGCAGCTTTATTATTATATAGTGCCATACTTTAAGTTAACAATTTTAGTTTGTCATATAAATGGCATATGTCATAAGTATGAATGTTTGTGAGAAAGTCTCAATCGGCACCCTATACAGAGTGGCGTATCTAGCAAAACATTTTTGGTCACGCTATTTTATGCAGAGCCATGCCTATGACGTCATGATTTTCAATCATAATTATGGTAAGACATAAGCACTTTATTGAAGTTTAATGAACAAAATTTAAAGTGCGAACAAACAACATATAAGTTTCGAACAAATCAAATAAAAATTATTGTCTTATGTTAAGATCTCAACTTCATCATCATTTTAGTGGCCATGACTCTACATGCAGCTATTAAGTTCACCCTCACTTAACGTAAGGTAACTTTTAGTTTTTTGACTGTACACATGATAACGAATGACATTATGTTAAAGGAGGAATGTCGGTATTAGCATAACTGACCTCAAAACTTTTAAATTCACAATGAAGCCATAAAATAATAACACAACCATAAATATTTTGATATACATGTGCATGTCATGTATGAAGGAAAATTCAATTTTTGAGCAGTCACAATATTCTATCATCACATCCTTTTGGAGTTTAAAATGAAAACATTTATAAACCTAAACGTATTTAAACGCAACATATTTAAATCAACATTAGTTAATAATTTTTTCCCATTCTTAAAACATATTACATATTAGAAGCGTGTCTTGAATATTTTGATGAACTATCAAAAATTGTTAAGAGCCTTTACAAAAATAAGTTAATCCGTTACTATGCCCTTGATAACTGAGCTCGAGATCTTTACGGAGAAATATCGGACGGAAATCATTTCTTCCAGCACCAAGTACTTAGGGTGAGAAACAAAGATTGCTTTCTTTCTTGTCCTTTATGTTTTTTACAGGATGGCTATCCCTTTCTGGTTTTTGTCACTTGAAAACAAATTGTTTCAAATTGTATCCTCTGGATATTAAATTATTTTCCTATTATACTTCCTTCGACTCATATTCATAAATGTTTTTTTAAACTTGATGTTTGCTTTGAAAGTATGTTTACATTTGAAGATAATTTTACGAGTTTTTTAACCGTAGTCTATAACAAAAAATGATGGACAGACAGAAATGCTTCTAAGGCAAAAAAACCAGCCATTTTGCCGGAAGTGACGTTTACCATATGATAAAAAAGATTATTTTACAACATTGGCAAGTGATTGATTGTGTTTAAAATGCGTTTAGATGTTTTGTTTTTTTCAAAAGTTATTGTTGTCTGTCTTATAGGTATCGTGACCGACTAAAGGCGCTGTTTTTAAGCACCAGTCATGTAAGTGGCATGGGTTCAAATCTCATCGCTACCAGCACGTCTTCGTTATAGGAATTTATTTAATAAATTTTGAAAAAATTTACACAATTGTGGAAATTACATTGAAATAATTAACATGTTTTTCT